GACTGAAAACTAGCTCAATCTGACTCAGACAACTTACAGGGGCTAAATTCGTAAAAATATCTTCTGTTTTTTTGTTTGGTCACAAAGGACTATACTGTAATTTCATACCACTTTTAGGTTAGATTTGCATTTGATTGAAGTTTGGGTCTAGTATTGGGGTTAAAACCAAGTTGTAGGTTAGTTTTGGCAAAAACCCCTAAAGTAAATTATATGATATATACATACAACAACATACAACCTATTTTCCAGTAAATTTACATATATATGTCATCAAATTATATTGTATATTTGTGATAATTATTTCAGCCTCATGATACTTTGTTCTAACAGCAAAATAATTAATTTTTTTATAAATTTCATATACATAACTGAAAATATCGAATAATTATAGAATAAGAACAAAAGACAAAACGGTGGTACAGAATTGGAAATAGCAGTTCTCTGCAATTTAATATAGGAAAATAAAATTAAAACAATACAAAGTGAAACAACAACTATACACAAAGAGTAAGACTCAGTAATGTACATTCATAATATAATTTCTAAATGTGTTCCAAAAAAACTCAGAAAGCAAAACTTAGTAAAATACATTCATAATATAATTTCCATAATTTTTAATGTTCAGTCATGCTAAAAGAATATTTTATTAGTTAAATTTTTTATTATTTTTTGTTAGTTATAATAGAAAAATATTTGACAATAGTATTAATTTCATGCTTTAACTAAGAAATATTTAAAACAAAAAATAATTACGAATGAATTACATAGAAAATAATAAATATATTCACTTCAAATCAGTTATACTGAAAAATAATTAAATAATAAAAAAATGCAAAAATTCATATCCAAATAAAAAATGATAATATAACAAAATTAAATATATTATCCGCGCGTAGCACGGAAAAAGAATCTAGTATGTTTTAAAACGTTCAAATTACCATTAATGAATGACACAAATTTTTTTTTGGTAAGTTTCATGTAAATGTGTCAAATATTTCTAAGTTTATGGCTTTTATATATTGTTAAAATTTAATTCAAAATGCTGAAAAACATTTGGAGTTCAACTTTTTAGAGAGTTGTTCATGTTTTTCACATGATCATAATATTCTCTTCTTTGAACTTAAATATTGGCCGATTTGTAGGTTTTGCAACCAGAAAAATACTAAAGGAGGTCACCAATCACGAATTTGGCTTCTCGACACAATAAATCAGTAAAGAATTCAACGATCAATTCAACATAATGAAACACTATTACTTGATTAATTGTCGAATAATAATAAAATTTTGATGTTTAATCCCAATCAAAAAGATATGCTTTGAACTAACTGCAGCTCGTTTGATTTTACTCAAGCAAAAGAGCATGTTATATTTATAGTGATCATTTTTCTTGATGAGGTTACAAAAAAGTTTCAATATGGTACATTTACACTTCATATATATAAAGATCCAAAATATATATAATGCTTCTAGATTTCTTGTATAAATTATTTCCTAAAATCTGGAGAAAATATTGATTAGGAAACAAATAGTAAGTACATAGAACAATATATATCGAGTTATTTAATGTTTTGAAGCATCAAATAGGGAAATAATCATAGACCGGATTAGAATTAAAAAACACGGTTTAATGTCAAATTATTAAAATGGTTTTAAGTGAAAACCATGCAGTACCAAACAGGAATGGTGCGGAAGGTTTTAATTGCGCTTGATGAAAAGGATGTCAACACTATTCGATAGGAACAATTAGAGTAAAAAATCTTAGGTGTAACCTGTTTTAATAGTATAGATGTGCGTATAGTGGTGTAACTGGTATGAGCATATTAACATACATCGAAGGTACTTTACCTCTGAAATGGTTCATGAGTTGATCATTATTGCTGAATGGTTGTATTTTACACAAAAACAAATGATTTATAAACTTATATTTTGTGTCTTCATGTGCTTTTCAACCTTGTAGTGCTATAATTTTCTATTTCCAATATTAAAAAAAAGTAGACAAAACCAAAAGTGAAATAATATTGACATTATTGATCAAAGATTCATTCATCATTGTCGCAGAAGACTGTTTGACTTTTAAGTGTTATGTACATTCCACACATTTGGTCTTCAAAATCATTAGATTCATTGATACAAATGATGCTTCTTTCTTCTTATTCTTCTTGCTTCCTAGAATCCTGATGTCTTGCATATTTCCATTGTTTTATCCATTCATCCATATGCATTTTGATCATATAGACTAGGATTTAGTCATTTATAGGTTGCATTTTGCATACATGATTTCTTATCAGCTATTGGAGTATCTTTGGAGTTCTTGGAGGTGATTGGATGCATTTGAGGTCCAAAATAGGAGTTTGAAGTGATCATTGGATGAGTAGGGCGGGAGCGACGTTCCAGAGTGACCCCATGACGTCGCTCCCAAGCTAGAGCGACCCCCAGAGCGAGACGTCATGGTCGCTTGGCCTTTTGACACTCGGTTGCAGGAGGAGGTCCTGGAGCGACGTCCATAGGTCTCTCCCAGCCAGAGCGACCACCCGGATCGAGGCACCTAGGTCGCTTGCCTTTTTATCAAATCCAGAAGCCGAAACAGCCCCTGGAGCGACGTCCACAGGTCGCTCCCAGCCAGAGCGACCTCTCGGAGCAACGTGGCGAGGTCGCTCCACGTCATTTGCTTGGTCGAAACCTTGTATTTTCTAGGGACCTTTTGGTCATTTATTTCATGTTTTTTCACTTTCTAAACCTAAGTTTAAGTACCCTTTTGTAGCCTACCAGGCATGTGATCTTGGATCTGGAGGAGAAAACACAAAAACCTCTTGGAAAATTTTATTTCTAGGAATCATTCTTAATTGTTATTGTGATCCTGTTTTATTACATTGCATTATCTACTCATCTTTACATGATTAAGCTCGAATCCATTATGGGTTTGAGAGAAATCATGAAGATTAGTGAGTAATCCACCTTTGGATTCATGGGATAGGGTGATTAGGCTAGAACTAGGATGTTTAGTGTAGATTTCTCTTATTCTTTGCTAGTAGAGTATTCTTAATGCATCTTTTGAGTTGGCCTCTCAAAAGTTGAGCTTTAGGCATTTCCCACCTCACAAGGTGTTCGATGAAATGCCTGAGCCAACTCTCGTAAGCTTTTAACATACTTTACCAAAGACATTTGTTGTTAAAGGTGTTAAGATGGCTAATAGACTTGTTCTTAAAGATTACTTATATAACATTCAACCCAAGACATTTGATGTTTGAGTTATGTTAGTAAATGAGCATTCACCTAGACAAAGAGATTGCTTAGAGAAGTGTCTAGGCTTAAGGTCGATAGTTTAATTGACCATTTGCCATTCTTAGTTCGAAGTTTGATCACTCAAGATCTAATTCCTACTCCCATGAGTTTTCCTTTCTTTTAATCAAAGGAAGTTATTTTAATTATCGCTATTCTTATTCTTAGTTATAGTATAAAACCATCATTTATTCGAGTGCACTTAGATTAAGTGAGTACTTTCATTCTCAGTGCTTTAAAATCCTTTAGAATTGGTTCGACAATCTTTTATACTACAACATTAGTTTTAGGAGCTTTGAAAACTCCTAACTTCAAATCCTCAAACTCTGTCTAAGTAAATCAATCTATCTTTCTTTCTCATACCTTTTTCTATCCATCAAAGCTATTTTCTCATAATATTGACATTTGATCAAAGATTCATTCATCATTGTAGCAGAAGACTATTTGACTTTTAAGTGTTATGTACATTCCACACATTTGGTCTTCAAATCATTAGATTCATTGATGCAAACGATGCTCCTTTCTTCTTATTATTCTTGCTTCCTAGAATCCTCAAACTCTGTCTAAGTAAATCAATCTCTCTTTCCTTCTCATACTTTTATCTATCCATCAAAGCTATTTTCTCTTTTAATGTCTCAATTGTATCTTCCTTAACTCTAACTTCATTTCTCAGTTTCTCCACTGTCTTAACTTTTTCTGTTTCATCTTTGCCTTCAAGTTGCCTTTGCATCATTGCCTTTCCTACAAGAAACCCACTTTCAAAGATACATTATCATAAACAACACTGAAATTTAAGTTGTTTTTTTACCAGAAAAGAAAGAAGTTGTGTGGATGATGAGATGATCAAGCTCATTCTTGATAGCTAAATAGAGTTGATTCCATTTCTCAATGGCTTCATCTCTCACTGCTTTCTCCACACACATCTCCTTAACAACCCATTTCCAGTACTCTCTCTCCTCTGTTGTTGTTGTCTTTGCTTCCTCTTTCTCCTCCACTTTCTTCCTTAGCCGCTTCACTTTCTCTCTAAGCTTCTTCGTCTCTTTCACCCACTCACTCTCGGCCTCTCTAAGTTTATCAAACATCTCTTTCTCTCTCACATCTGTCTCTCTTCTCATGTGTCTTCTTCCTCTGCTCCTTTCAGTTGAGGTCTCCTTCTTGACACTTCTCATATTAGGTTTGTCTTGCTTGCTTGTGGAACCACCCATGTCTAATCTTATGAATGTTTCTTCTTAAGACATGAACAAAGAATATTAATGGAAGTGTGTCGCTCTGGAATGTGTGTTCATATTTAATTTGTGATGTAGAGAACCTCCTCTTCATGAAAAAGAGCATGTTATATTTANTTATGAATGTTTCTTCTTAAGACATGAACAAAGAATATTAATGGAAGTGTGTCGCTCTGGAATGTGTGTTCATATTTAATTTGTGATGTAGAGAACCTCCTCTTCATGAAAAAGAGCATGTTATATTTATAGTAATCATTCTTGTTGATGATTTTCACAAAGTTATGATAGTGAGATATTTACATTTCATATATATATATATAAAAATATATCACTATATTTAATGATTATAGAGATTTCTTGCATATTATTTCCTAAAATCTCGAGAATAAATAATATTCTAAATCTTGTTAGATCATTTAAAAAAATTTAATCATGATTTATATTTTAGCACTTATTTTATAAAATATTAATAAGGAAACAAATAGCAAAAAGTTAGAGAAATATGTTAGGTGGTTTAATGTTTAAGAGCTCAAATTACCTTTAATGAATGACACGATTTTTTTGTTGTTGTAAGTTTCATGTAAATGTGTCAAATAATTGTAAGTTTATGTCTTTTATATATTATTAAAATTTAAATGCTGTAAAGCATTTAGAGTTCAACGTTTTAGAGAGTTGTTCATGTTTTTTACATGGTGAAAATATTCTTCTTTGAACTTAAAAAATTGGCCGCTTTATGGGTTTTGCAACAAGAAAAAATGCGAAAGAAGGTTATTCACTGCGATTTTGGCTACTCGACACAATAAATCAGTACATATTTAAACGGTCAATTCAACATAATTAAACACTATTACTCGATTAATTGTCGAATAATAATAAAAATTTGATGCTTAAGCCTAATCAAAAAGATAAGCTTTGGGTTTATTGCAGCCAGTTTGATTTTACTTAAGTAAAAGAACATGTTATGTTTGTAATAATTACTTTTGTTGCTGATGTTCAAAAAAAAGTTTCAATATAAGATATTTACACTTCATATATATAAAAATCTGAAATATATTTAATGATTAAAGATTCTTGTATAAATTATTTCCAAAAATTTCGAGAAAAATATTGATAAGGAAACAAATACCAAGTAAATAGAAATATATATATCAAGTTATTTACTGTTTTGTAGCATCAAATAAGAAAATAATCATAGAATGTATTAGAATTAGGAAAACGCGGTTTAATGCCAAACCATTAAAATGGTTTAAGTGAAAACCACGCAGTACCAAACAGGAACGGTTCGGAAGGTTCTAAGTGCGCTTAATGAAAAGGACGGCAACACTATTGGATAGGAACAATTAAACCTGTTTTAATAGTATAGATGTGTGTATAGTGGTGTAACTGGTATGAGCATATTAACAGACATTGAAGGTACTTTACCTCTGAAATGGTTTATGAGTTGATCATTATTGCTGAATGGTTGTATTTTACACAAAAACAAATGATTTACAAACTTATATTTTGTGTCTTCATGTACTTTTCAACCTTGTAGTGCTATAATTTGCTATTACTAATATAAAAAAAGTAAACAAAACCAAAAGTGAAATAATATGACATTGTTGATCAAAGATTCTCTGATGAGTGAGATATCATTCATCATTGTAGCAGAAGACTGTTTGACTTTTAAGTGTATGTACATTCCACACATTTGGTCTTCAAAATCATTAGATTCATTGATGCAAACGATGCTCCTTTCTTCTTATTATTCTTGCTTCCTAGAATCCTCAAACTCTGTCTAAGTAAATCAATCTCTCTTTCCTTCTCATACTTTTCTCTATCCATCAAAGCTATTTTCTCTTTTAATGTCTCAATTGTATCTTCCTTAACTCTAACTTCATTTCTCAGTTTCTCCACTGTCTTAACTTCTTCTGTTTCATCTTTGCCTTCAAGTTGCCTTTGCATCATTGCCTCTCCTACAAGAAACCCACTTTCAAAGATACATTATCATAAACAACACTGAAATTTAAGTTGTTTTTTTTACCAGAAAAGAAAGAAGTTGTGTGGATGATGAGATGATCAAGCTCATTCTTGATAGCTAAATAGAGTTGTTTCCATTTCTCAATGGCTTCATCTCTCACTGCTTTCTCCACACACATCTCCTTAACAACCCATTTCCAGTACTCTCTCTCCTCTGTTGTTGTTGTCTTTGCTTCCTCTTTCTCCTCCACTTTCTTCCTTAGCCGCTTCACTTTCTCTCTAAGCTTCTTTGTCTCTTTCACCCACTCACTCTCGGCCTCTCTAAGTTTATCAAACATCTCTTTCTCTCTCACATCCGTCTCTCTTCTCATGTGTCTTCTTCCTCTGCTCCTTTCAGTCGAGGTCTCCTTCTTGACACTTCTCATATTAGGTTTGTCTTGCTTGCTTGTGGAACCACCCATGTCTAATCTTATGAATGTTTCTTCTTAAGACATGAACAAAGAATATTAATGGAAGTGTGTCGCTCTGGAATGTGTGTTCATATTTAATTTGTGATGTAGAGAACCTCCTCTTCATGAAAAAGAGCATGTTATATTTANTTATGAATGTTTCTTCTTAAGACATGAACAAAGAATATTAATGGAAGTGTGTCGCTCTGGAATGTGTGTTCATATTTAATTTGTGATGTAGAGAACCTCCTCTTCATGAAAAAGAGCATGTTATATTTATAGTAATCATTCTTGTTGATGATTTTCACAAAGTTATGATAGTGAGATATTTACATTTCATATATATATAAATATCTCACTATATTTAATGATTATAGAGATTTCTTGCATATTATTTCCTAAAATCTCGAGAATAAATAATATTCTAAATCTTGTTAGATCATTTAAAAAAAAATTAATCATGATTTATATTTTAGTACTTATTTTATAAAATATTAATAAGGAAACAAATTTCAAAAAGTTAGAGAAATATGTTAGGTGGTTTAATGTTTAAGAGCTCAAATTACCTCTAATGAATGACACAATTTTTTGTTGTTGTAAGTTTCATGTAAATGTGTAAAATAATTGTAAGTTTATGTCTTTTATATATTATTAAAATTTAAATGCTGTAAAGCATTTAGAGTTCAACGTTTTAGAGAGTTGTTCATGGTGAAAATATTCTTCTTTGAACTTAAAAGATTGGCCGCTTTATGGGTTTTACAACAAGAAAAAATGCGAAAGAAGGTTATTCACTGTGATTTTGGCTACTCGACACAATAAATCAGTACATATTTAAACGGTCAATTCAACATAATTAAACACTATTAATCGATTAATGGTCGAATAATAATAAAAATTTGATGCTTAAGCCTAATCAAAAAGATAAGCTTTGGGTTTATTGCAGACAGTTTGATTTTACTTAAGTAAAAGAACATGTTATGTTTACAATAATTACTTTTGTTGATGATGTTCACAAAAAAGTTTCAATATAAGATATTTACACTTCATATATATAAAAATCTGAAATATATTTAATGATTAAAGATTCTTGTATAAATTATTTCCAAAAATTTCGAGAAAAATATTGATAAGGAAACAAATACCAAGTAAATAGAAAATATATATCAATTTATTTAATGTTTTGAATCATCAAATAAGAAAATAATCATAGAAAGGATTAGAATTAGGAAAACGCGGTTTAATGCCAAACCATTAAAATGGTTTAAGTGAAAACCACGCAGTACCAAACAGGAACGGTGCGGAAGGTTCTAATTGCGCTTAATGAAAAGGACGGCAACACTATTGGATAGGAACAATTAAACCTGTTTTAATAGTATAGATGTGTGTATAGTGGTGTAACTGGTATGAGCATATTAACAGACATTGAAGGTACTTTACCTCTGAAATGGTTCATGAGTTGATCATTATTGCTGAATGGTTGTATTTTACACAAAAATAAATGATTTATAAACTTATATTTTGTGTCTTCATGTGCTTTTCAACCTTGTAGTGCTATAATTTGCTATTACTAATATAAAAAAAAAGTAAACAAAACCAAAAGTGAAATAATATGACATTGTTGATTAAAGATTCTCTGATGAGTGAGATATCATTCATCATTGTAGCAGAAGACTGTTTTACTTTTTAATGTTATGTACATTCCACACATTTGGTCTTCAAAATCATTAGATTCATTGATGCAAACGATGTTCCTTTCTTCTTATTATTCTTGCTTCCTAGAATCCTCAAACTCTGTCTAAGTAAATCAATCTCTCTTTCCTTCTCATACTTTTCTCTATCCATCAAAGCTATTTTCTCTTTTAATGTCTCAATTGTATCTTCCTTAACTCTAACTTCATTTCTCAGTTCCTCCACTATCTTAACTGCTTCTGTTTCACCTTTGCCTTTAAGTTTCCTTTGCATCATTGCCTCTCCTACGAGAAACCCACTTTCAAAGATCCATTATCATAAACAAAACTGAAATTTAAGTTGTTTTTTTTACCAGAAGAGGAAGAAGTTGTGTGGATGATGAGATGATCAAGCTCATTCTTGATAGCTAAATAGAGTTGTTTCCATTTCTCCACGGCTTCATCTCTCACTGCTCTCTCCACACACATCTCCTCAACAACCCATTTCCAGTACTCTTTTTCCTCTGTTGTTGTTGTCTTTGCTTCGTCTCTCTCCTCCATTTTCTTCTTTAACCTCTTTACTTGCTCTCTAAGCTTCTTCCTCTCTTTCCCCCACTCTCTCTCCGCCGCTCTAAGTTTCTCAAACATAACTTTCTCTCTCACATCCGTCTCTCTTCTCACGTTTCTTTTTTCTCTGCTTCTTTCAGTTGAAGTCTCCTTCTTGACACTTCTCGTACTAGGTCTCTCTTGCTTGCTTGTGCAACCACCCATGTCTAATCTTGTGGATGTTTCTTCTTAGGACATGAACAAAGAATGTTAGTGGAAGGGTCTCTCTCTGGAACGTGTGTTCTTATTTAACTTGTGATGTAGAGAGGCTCCTCTTCATTCAATGAATAGAAGTCATAATTGTGAGTGAAGAAGCTCCAACTGTACTACTCTACCATATTTATATAAGGCCTCCAAAAAAGCATCCCACAACAGTAATTCTCTAGCTTTCTTTTCACTCACATGTGTAATACACTACAGTAAAAAAATGGAATAAATTAAGAGGAAGCTGTGATGGGAGATGTCAGAAAGGAAGGTGGAATGAGTGTTGAGAAGATTAGGTTTAAGGACATGGAAAACTACAACACTATATTCTCATCCTTATACGAATTTATGGTGTGGGCTTTCACTGTTTTTTCACATGCTCCATCTTCAAAACTTTTTGGACCCATCCCTCTCTCTATAGCTCTATATAATATATAGTCTATAAAATCTACACTATAGAATCTATACTCGGTAAGTCTTAACTAATCAGTGTCCATAGTCAGTAGTCACTAGTAAACAAAAATAAGAGAGACAATTTCAGTGTAGATCTTTACATTAGGAGGTGAATAGACATAGCTGTTTTTGGGTGGCTCAAGGGTCAAATTAATCATATGGAGAAAGAGACAAAAGTTAGACTGTTGTCTAATCACAACCTTATTCATCTGAATAGTTTATATACGGATAATTATGTTTTACAGCCACATAATCAATTTAAAACGATTAGGTTGGTCCCATGATTTTTGTTTTGTTAGAATGAGAATTTAGTATTTTTGTTTGGTTGGCTTAAGCTGTCCCTTCACGTGAACTTCCCTCCTAATACGGCTCTCTGCCTTTTAATTATTCCTATGTTTTAGTAATCTAATCTTTTCCATTAATTAGAAGAATCATTTGTTACTATAATACCACTTATAAATGGTATTTTTTTTCTCTCTAATTATAGTTAACTTGGTGAAAACTGGAAACTATTATGGACTTAGAAAAACATTTTTGAATTACTTATCTTCATCTACTTTTGATGGCACAGTAAATGTAGGAGAATAAGGTGTTGGTTTGTGATTTGCCAGTAATTTCCGTGAAGTGTAAACACCATAAGCAAAGTGTAGTAACCTCTTGAGACATCTTTCTTAGGATTAACAACATACAATATAGCATCTTTCTTAGGATTAACAACATATAGCGTATAGGTAGATTTTCGTTAACTCATTAACTAGTTTTTTTTTTAAATTCGGAATCGTAGCATATTAACACCCGTTGGTATATTGTACAGTCAAAGTTTAACATTTTTATTTTCTGGAAGGTTTGTTTTGACAAGATGCATTCATTTCATAGTTCATACAATTATGTGATATTAAGAAAAGTTTTAAGTGAAATTCATCGTGCTATATTGATCAACATTACTACAAGAAAAAGGAAATTATGTATACATACTTTAGCATATAGTAGTAGTACAATGTCACAATCTGACCCAAAAAACCAGAGCTGTGGCACATTTCACATTTTTTTTTACCGCCCAAGCATATACACAACCTTAGCCTAACCATCTTTTCGGCATTATCATTATAATCATTTCATTATACTGCATACAAACATAAACCATCGGATCGAACCATACCACAATCTCTCTTTCTAGTGAGTGAGAGCCACTGCAGCTTCTTGAACCAGGGGCTGAGTGACATGCACAAAATGCTCAGCTTCACGCTCCACTTCTTCCCGACACCTATCAGAGTCTCTCCCTTCACCCATTTTCTTCACAAACCCTACAAACTTCCCCCAATTTTCGGCCTTAAACAGCTCTGGATTCATCCTCAGGTAAGTAAACGCACACATCTCTCTGTTTTCTCCCTCGCTGTTCTGATCAAAGCTCAGCGCCGACGCCTTGAGGATCTGCTCGTGCGCATAGTCATCATACCTAGGCAATGCGTTTTCACCAGCTAGAGGAACTTCTGCAGCTAGAGTAGCAAGAGCCACCTGGTTCACTAGCTTCTCTGGTGCACAAAGCGCGTCTTGAGGCTGCTCGTGGTCTCTCATCTCGATACACGTGAAGTTGAATATGGCGTTGTGTCTGGCTAGCATTTGAGCGATCGGAAGGTATCCGTCTCTGAACCTAGTGTTGTAGTATCCTGCTGTGAGCTCAGGGGCGTGAGAGCGTGTTCCATAGTGCCAGTGGATTCCAGCGATTTTGACTGATATTTTGACACCTGTGTTTTCAAATATCGACTTGGCCGAGGAAAGAATACGCTCGCCATGGTCCAGCAACATCTGGGAGTACCATGTGAGGAAGAACTCTCCATACTCTGTGTTCCAACCACCGTCTTCTTTTTTGAAGAATTGAGTGTCTTCTGGCCAGTTATTGTAGTGACCAGCATCGGTTGGGCCAGTACCACCCCACTCTGGCTTTCCATAAGCCTCAGCTGCTGCTTTCAAGCTGCTTAACGAGTACTGCATCAATCATAACAAGTAAAACAGTTTGAGCATTACATTCTTTGCAAAACATATCAGAGGATACTCATGTGTGTGTTCGTGGTTAGTACCTTG